GAAGATTGAACCTGGTGAGGTGTTCCGATCAGCATGGCCTCAGTTTTGGAGCAGTTCAACTGAAGGAAATTCTGAGTCATCCACTTCCTTATCTCCTCCAGGCAGGTAGTGAAAGCATTAAGTAAAGATGGTGATGATGCTCCAGTTCTAATATAGAGTTGTATATCGTCGGCGTAGCAGTGAAAGGAGATGTTATATCGATTTATGATTTGACCCAAGGGCAGCATGTAAAGGGAAAACAGCAGGGGCCCTAATACTGACCCCTGTGGGACACCACAGGAGACAGAGACAGCCTGGGACTTGGCCTTGCCGAGGCTAACACATTCCAGCCGATTGGAGAGAAAAGATTTAAACCAGTCCAGAACGGTGTCACAGAGACCGACCTCCACATGAAGACGGTGTAGTAGGATGTTATGGTCCACAGTGTCAAAGGCTGCAGTTAGATCAAGGAGAACAAGGAGAAATGTAGACCCAGCATCAGCTGCCATGTAGATGTCATTAGTAACTCTCAGCAAAGCGGTCTCAGTGCTGTGAGCAGAACGAAACCCAGACTGAAATTTCTCGTACAGGGAGTTTTGTTCTAGATGAAGCTGCAGCTGAGCGGCAACAGCTTTATTAACAGCTTATATTTCAGATGTTTATTTTGTTTAATTTTGATGATTACAAATGACAACAAATGAAAATCTCAAATTCATCATATCAGAAAATTAGAATATTGTGAAAAGGTTCAAAATTGATGGCCCCTGGTGCCACACTCTAATCAGCTAATTAACTCAAACCACCTGCAAAAGCCTTTAAATGGTCTTTCAGTCTAGTTCTATAGGCTACACAATCATGGGGAAGACTGCTGACTTGACAGTTGTCCAAAAGACGACCATCGACACCTTGCACAAGGAGGGCAAGACACAAAAGGTCATCGCTAAAGAGGCTGGCTGTTCACAGAGCTCAGTGTCCAAGCACATTAATAGAGAGGCGAAGGGAAGGAAAAGATGTGGTCGAAAAAAGTGTACAAGCAAGAGAGATAACCGCACCCTGGAGAGGATTGTGAAACAAAACCACTTCAAAAATGTGGGGGAGATTCACAAAGAGTGGACTGCAGCTGGAGTGAGTGCTTCAAGAACCACCACACACAGACGTATGAAAGACATGGGTTTCTGCTGTCGCATTCCTTGTGTCAAGCCACTCTTGAACCACAGACAGCGTCAGAAGTGTCTAAAGAGAAACAGGACTGGACTGCTGGTGAGTGGTCCAAAGTCATGTTCTCTGATGAAAGTAAATTTTGCATTTCCTTTGGAAATCAAGGTCCCAGAGTCTGGAGGAAAAGAAGAGAGGCACTTCATCCACGTTGCTTGAAGTCCAGTGTAAAGTTTCCACAGTCAGTGATGGTTTGGGGTGCCATGTCATCTGCTGGTGTTGGTCCATTGTGTTTTCTGAGGTCCAGGGTCAACGCAGCCACATACCAGGAAGTTTTAGAGCACTTCATGCTTCCTGCAGCTGACCAACTTTTTGGAGATGCAGATTTCATTTTCCAACAGGACTTGGCACCTGCACACAGTGCCTGGTTGAAGGACCATGGTATCCCTGTTCTTAATTGGCCAGCAAACTCTCCTGACCTTAACCCCATAGAAAATCTATGGGGTATTGTGAAGAAGAAGATGCAATACACCAGACCCAACAATTCAGAAGAGCTAAAAGCCACTATTAGAGCAACCTGGGCTATCATAACACCTGAGCAGTGCCACAGACTGATCGACTCCATGCCACGCCGCATTGCTGCAGTAATACAGGCCAAAGGAGGCCCAACTAAATACTGAGTGCTGTACATGCTCATACTTTTCATGTTCATACTTTTCAGTTGGCCAACATTTCTATAAATCCTTTGTTTTTATTGGTCTTCAGTAATATTCTAATTTTCTGATATGATGAATTTGAGATTTTCATTTGTTGTCATTTGTAATCATCAAAATTAAACAAAATAAACATCTGAAATATATGAGTTTGTATGTAATGTATGAATATAATATACAAGTTTCACTTTTTAAATGGAATTACGGAAATCAATCTACTTTTTCATGATATTCTAATTTTATGACCAGCACCTGTATATACCTCAACTATGAGAGACAAAATGAGAAAAGAAAAAATCCAGAAAATCACATTGTCTGATTTTTAAAGAATTTATTTGCAAAATATGGTGGAAAATAAGTATTTGGTCAGTTACAAACAAGCAAGATTTCTGGCTCTCACAGACCTGTAACTTCTTCTGTAAGAGGCTCCTCTGTCCTCCACTCGTTACCTTCATTAATGGCACCTGTTTGAACCTGTTATCAGTATAAAAGACACCTGTCCACAACCTCAAACAGTCACACTCTAAACTCCACCATGGCCAAAACTAGAGAGCTGTCAAAGGACACCCGAAACAAAATTTATAGACCTGCACCAGGCTGGGAAGTCTGAATCTGCAATAGGTAAACAGCTTGGTGTGAAGAAATCAACTGTGGGATCAATTATTAGAAAATGGAAAACATACAAGACCACTGATAATCTTCCTTGATCTGGGGCTCCACACAAGATCTCACCCCGTGGGGTCAAAATGATCACAAGAACGGTGAGTAAAAATCCCAGAACCACACGGGGGGACCTAGTGAATGACCTGCAGAGAGCTGGGACCAAAGTAACCAAGGCTACCATCAGTAACACACTACGCCACAAGGGACTCAATTCCTGCAGTGCCAGACGTTTCCCCCTGCTTAAGCCAGTACATGTCAAGGCCCGTCTCAAGTTTGCTAGAGAGCATTTGGATGATCCAGACGATGACTGGGAGAATATCATATGGTCAGATGAAACCAAAATAGAACTTTTTGGTAAAAACTCTACTTGTCATGTTTGGAGGAGAGAGAATGCTGAGTTGCATCCAAAGAACACCATACCTACAGTGAAGCATGGGGGTGGAAACATCATGCTTTGGGGCTGTTTTTCTGCTAAGGGACCAGGACGACTGATCCGTGTGAAGGAAAGAATGAATGGGGCCATGTATCGTCAAATTTTGAGTGAAAACCTCCTTCCATCAGCAAGGGCATTGAAGATGAAACGTGGCTGGGTCTTTCAGCATGACAATGATCCCAAACACACCACCCGGGTAACGAAGGAGTGGCTTTGTAAGAAGCATTTCAAGGTCCTGGAGTGGCCTAGCCAGTCTCCAGATCTCATCCCCATAGAAAATCTTTGGAGGGAGTTGAAAGTCCGTGTTGCCCAGCGACAGCCCCAGAACATCACTGCTCTAGAGGAGATCTGCATGGAGGAATGGGCCAAAATACCAGCAACAGTGTGTGAAAACCTTGTGAAGACTTACAGAAAACGTTTGATCTCTGTCATTGCCAACAAAGGGTATATAACAAAGTATTGAGATGAACTTTTTTTATTGACCAAATACTTATTTTCCACCATATTTTGCAAATAAATTCTTTAAAAATCAGACAATGTGATTTTCTGGATTTTTTTTCTCATTTTGTCTCTCATAGTTGAGGTATATCTATGATGAAAATTACCGGACTCTCTCATCTTTTTAAGTGGGAGAACTAGCACTATTGGTGGCTGACTAAATACTTTTTTGCCCCACTATATATATATATAGAAAGAGAGTGAGAGAAAGAGAGAAACGCTCTCCCAATATTTAATTTAAAAAAGGTTTTGACCTCTAATAAAGTAATTCATGGTTTTAAACAGCTGTAAGAAGTCCAATAGAGTTTTCCTTTACACACAGAAAATAAACTGCCACTTCTTATCATCTTAACATCCTTTTTTAGTTACCATGGTAGTCAATTCTCTATCCATTGCTAATTAGACTTCACTTACAATGAACCACTTTTGCTGAGAAAACAACTAACTTGGAAAACTGAGCTTCAGCTGAGCCACTTAATACGTCCTGAGCGTCCCTGTGACTGATGATCAGAGCTGAGCAGCTTTCCAACACTTCACCGCTTGTATAATTGGCTGACGCTTGTGTTGCAGTTAAGAGTGCCTTCACTGTCAGTAACTCAAAGCCCACGTCTTGCACCCTCACCCCTGCCTGTTGCCATAACAACTAATGCAGAGGCAATGTTAGAAAAATCAATTGGGGATGCTCATGTAATGTGTGCGCTGGCTTCACCTGATTCAATTTGCTGCTTTTGAATTTGAAAATGTTTTTGGTTTGGTCACACTTCAGCTTGATGAGGCTGAAAAGCAGTAAAAATTCACTTCATCTTTTGCCAACTTCAAACCCAGCATGCTGCAGAAATGCTGCAATTGTTGAGAAGCTTAAAACTGTGGCTACACTTTGTGTCTGTTTCTAGAAAGTAGATAATCTCTTAGTGTCATTTTCATTTATTATTTTTCTAAGTGACCCTGGAGAGCCAACCGACAGAAATCCCGGGTTCCAGTTAGCTTACGAACAAGAAACTGTAAAAAAAAATGGAAGGATTTAAACAAAAGAAGTGGAAAAAGCAGCTGTCTGAGAGAACGTATCAAACACAGAGGGGACAAGAGTGCCAAAGAGAATGAAGAGCAGATAGGGGATCCGTCCAAAAGAATGGCAGAGTCTGCATTAAAGAGAAGGTGGCTTAGGACAGAGTGAACAGTGGCATGCATCCAAAAAGAATCAGTCTGTGACTCTAGCAGCAACAGAGATTACATTGGCAGGTCATCTGACAGAGAAACTGAAGGCAACTTACATATAACTCCTAATCGTAGGAAAAAAAAACAAACAGATTTAATTATTTGATGTCTATTCTATTTCCAACAGATGTTTTCTCTTCAAGATTTTTTTTCTTGGCTAGGGTCTAGGGCTCTCCTTTACAGTAGCGAAGTACTGTCGAAATAGAAGTGTTTAATATAATTCTGCTAATATGAAGGGAATAGCCATAAACATTAATTTATTTCAGTCTAAATAAAGTAAATTCCTTGTATAGTAAAAACATATTTCAGAACAGTCTATTTAATCAGCACCATTTCCTACTTACCCTGTTGATAAGCTCCCCGACCATGCCGGTCCAGCTGCCATTAGGCTCAGGTGCTCCATACAACCCATCATCCACCAGCTTTATCTTAAAGGAAAACTTCAGAATATCTGCCAACTCTCTCAGCATGTCCACACAAAAACCCTCGTACTGATCGTTTCCGTGAAAGTCCTGGTAATTGGACTTGCGCATCACATACGGGTTTTCCTGTCAGACCAAGAGTAAAATAATAAGGCAGTTGCTTTGAGCATGTTGAACAGAAGAGAAACACAAGCCTACCATATTTAATGGTAGCTGAACTAGACACTGTATATTTAATAGCTCGTTTGTTACCAGTATAGTGGTGACAATTAAGGATTTGTTAGCCAATGTTTCCGAGGCATTGAGGTCCAAGGAAGTAGAGTTCATGGCCAATGTGTTGTTGGAAAACCAAGTACCAATCTGTGGAAGAGAAACAGGAAGTAAGCATAACCTCATATTTAAGTAAAAAAGGTGGATTGATCACTCCTGTTTGAAAAACAAATCCCCAAAAAAGGCATTAAAGAAAATAAAAGTGAACACATAAATATCAAAAATCTGTATTTAAAAATGGCTATATATATATCTGTATATATCTATATATAGATATATATAGATATATATAGTATAAAATAAGGAAGTAGGTCCTAACTCAAAAGCATTACTTTAATTATCTTTATAATTTTTTAATTGTCAAGTAGATTTGATTGTAGCTAATTGCATCTGATTGGTCTGAAGATGTCCAGATAATTGCAATCAGGTCTAATCAGGTCAGCTCAATACATTATTAAAGTTAAAATTATGGAAAAGAGAGGATGCTCATTTTTTAAAATGAGACACATTATAGAAGCTCAAAGAAACCACCCGTCATTTTCTAAATCATATATTTTATATCATATTTTGATGTAGAGTAGAAATGTTGTAATGTTAAAAAAAAAAAAAAACATCACCAAATTAACACAACCTGCCGAGATATTTAGATAATAGTCTCAATCAAGAGCCAATAACTACCACTTTTACACCTTTTCACACACACTAAAAGGCTAAGAACCCATTGAGGTTAAAACTTGAGAAAAAACAAATCTAAGCAGAGTTTACAGCAGGGTTCTTCAATTGCAGTCCTGCAGGTCAATTGTCCGGCACCTTTTAGAGGTTTCTCTGCTTCCCCACATCTGGGTCAAATGGTTGAATTACTTCCTCAGCATGCAGAAAGTTCTCCAGAGTCCTGCTAATGATCTGATTATCTGACTCAGTTGTGTTAAAACACAGAAGCTTCTAAAAGATGGAAGACATTAGACCTCAAGGAGCGGAACTGCAGAACCCTGGTTTACTGTATACAGGCATCTTTAACAGATGGTTATTTGAACAGTTAAATCCCTCATTGAAACAGGAAAAGTATAACACATTTAAATATTTAATGATTGGCTTTTGGCTCTCCATCTGACCTCTTTATGGCCTGCAGGGTGTTTCTCCAAGATCTTCAGGGTGTAGTTGGTCCTCTGTCCTTTGCTGTTGAACTCGATGTGACCTGTCAGACCATCATATTCCACCTTTTCAAAAAAGAAAAAAGAAAAGAAAACAGATCATATAACTAAAAACAAATGTTCAATTTGTGTGTTTTTACTGACACTGTGTGCAGAATTATTAGGCAAGTTGTATTTTTGAGGATTATTATTATTGGGCCACAATTGTGTTCTCAATCAACACAAAAGACTCCTTAATATCGAAGTTTCATATTTATGGAACTTGATGTGTTTTTTTTAAATTTGACCATTTTATGAGGATGTCTGTGTGTGCAGGTAAATATTACTGTGCAGAATTATTAGGCAACGTAATAAAAACAAAAATATACCCATCTCACTTGTTAATTTTCTCCAGGTAAAAAAATATAACAACTCAAAATTCAGAAACAAACATTTGCGACCTTCAAAAACAAAACACAAATCAGTGACCAATATAGCCACCTTTCTTCACCATGATGCCCAAAGGTCTTCCATCCATAGATTCTGTCAGTGTCTTGATCTGTTTGCGATCCACATTGCATGCATCAGCCTCCACAGCCTTCCAGACACTGTTCAGAGAGATGCACCGTTTTCCCTCCCTGTAGATCTCGCATTTCATGAAGGACCACAGGTACTCGATGGGGTTCAGATCAGGTGAACAAGGGGGCCAGGTCATTATTTTTTCTCCTTTTAGACTTTTTCTGGCCAGCCACGCTGTGATGTATTTTGATGCATGTGACGGAGCATTGTCCCGCATGAATATCTTGTTTTTCTTGAATGATGGCAACTTCTTCTTGTACCACTGTTTAAAGAAGGTATCTTCCAGAAACTGGCAGTAGGTCTGGGAGTTGATCTTGACTCCATCATCAACCTGAAAAGGTCCCACAAGCTCATCTTTGATGATACCAGCCCATACCAGTATCCCACCTCCACCTTGCCACTGTCTGAGTTGATAAGGAACTTGCTGCCCTTTACTGATCCAGCCTGGTGCCCATCCATCTGGCCCATCAAGACTCACTTTCATTTCATCAGACCAAAATACCTTGGAGAACTCAGTCTTCAGATATTTCTTGGCCCGATCTTGACGTTTTGTCTTGTTCAAAGGTGGCCTTTTTTCGGCTTTCCTTACCTCGGCCAGGTTCCTGAGTATTGAGCGCCTTGTGCCTCTCTGCACTCCAGACATGTTGCAGCTCTGAAATATGGCACAACTGGTGGCTAACGGCTTCCTGGCGGCTTCACGCTTGATCCTTCTCAATTCACAGGGAGTTATTTTGCATCTTTTTTCAACACACTTCTTTCGCCCCTGTTGACTTTTTGCCATGAACCGCTTGATTGTGTGATGATCCTGCTTCAAAAGCTTGATAATTTCCAAACTGCTGCACCCCTCTAAAAGACATCTGACAATTTTTGACCTTTCAGAGTCTGTCTAATCTCTTTTCTGACCGATTTTGCCAAAGGAAAGGAAGTTACCTAAAAATAAGCACACCTTATACAGTGGGGCAGAAAAGTATTTAGTCAGCCACCAATAGCGCAAGTTCTCCCACTTAAAAAAATGAGAGAGGCCGGTAATTTTCATCATAGATATACCTCAACTATGAGAGACAAAATGAGAAAAAAAAATCCAGAAAATCACATTGTCTGATTTTTAAAGAATTTATTTGCAAAATATGGTGGAAAATAAGTATTTGGTCAATAACAAAAGTTCATCTCAATACTTTGTTATATACCCTTTGTTGGCAATGACAGAGATCAAACGTTTTCTGTAAGTCTTCACAAGGTTTTAACACACTGTTGCTGGTATTTTGGCCCATTCCTCCATGCAGATCTCCTCTAGAGCAGTGATGTTCTGGGGCTGTCGCTGGGCAACACGCACTTTCAACTCCCTCCAAAGATTTTCTATGGGGATGAGATCTGGAGACTGGCTAGGCCACTCCAGGACCTTGAAATGCTTCTTACGAAGCCACTCCTTCGTTACCCGGGCGGTGTGTTTGGGATCATTGTCATGCTGAAAGACCCAGCCACGTTTCATCTTCAATGCCCTTGCTGATGGAAGGAGGTTTTCACTCAAAATTTGACGATACATGGCCCCATTCATTCTTTCCTTCACACGGATCAGTCATCCTGGTGCCCTAGCAGAAAAACAGCCCCAAAGCATGATGTTTCCACCCCCATGCTTCACTGTAGGTATGGTGTTCTTTGGATGCAACTCAGCATTCTCTCTCCTCCAAACACGACGAGTAGAGTTTTTACCAAAAAGTTCTATTTTGGTTTCATCTGACCATATAATATTCTCCCAGTCATCGTCTGGATCATCCAAATGCTCTCTAGTAAACTTGAGACGGGCCTTGACATGTACTGGCTTAAGCAGGGGGAAACGTCTGGCACTGCAGGGTTTGAGTCCCTGGCAGCGTAGTGTGTTACTGATGGTAGCCTTTGTTACTTTGGTCCCAGCTCTCTGCAGGTCATTCACTATGTCCCCCCGTGTGGTTCTGGGATTTTTACTCACCGTTCTTGTGATCATTTTGACCCCACGGGGTGAGATCTTGCGTGGAGCCACAGATCGAGGAAGATTATCAGTGGTCTTGTATGTTTTCCATTGTCTAATAATTGATCCCACAGTTGATTTCTTCACACCAAGCTGTTTACCTATTGCAGATTCAGACTTCCCAGCCTGATGCAGGTCTATAATTTTGTTTCGGGTGTCCTTTGACAGCTCTCTAGTTTTGGCCATGGTGGAGTTTAGAGTGTGACTGTTTGAGGTTGTGGACAGGTGTCTTTTATACTGATAACGGGTTCAAACAGGTGCCATTAATGAAGGTAACGAGTGGAGGACAGAGGAGCCTCTTACAGAAGAAGTTACAGGTCTGTGAGAGCCAGAAATCTTGCTTGTTTGTAACTGACCAAATACTTATTTTCCACCATATTTTGCAAATAAATTCTTTAAAAATCAGACAATGTGATTTTCTGGATCTTTTTTTTCTCATTTTGTCTCTCATAGTTGCACTATTGGTGGCTGACTAAATACTTTTTTGCCCCACTGTATAGGGTGTTGATGTCATTAGGCCACACCCCTTCTCATTACAGATATGCACACCACCTGATTTACTTGATTGGTAGTTGGCTTTCAAGCCTATACAGCTTGGAGTAGGACAACATGTATGAAAAGGATGATGTGGTCGAAATACTAATTTGCCTAATAATTCTGCACACAGTGTATATAAAAAGTTTAATATATTATCTGTTTGAGGCTGATACCTATTCAAACAGGGAAAAATGTTGTCCATAATGCCGTCAAACCTGGTTTGACAAAAATTACACTGAAATGTAAATAAATGTACGTCTTGACACAAACTATTGCATGAGTATCAATGGGATAATTATTGTGCTGCTGACATTGTTTTTCTTACAAAATCTATTCTTGAATGAATTACATATCCTCTGTTTTTTTTCATCAATATATGAAAAACTGGCTTTCTTATTTTACCACACCTTAAACATTAAAATGTAAATCCGGTTCCAGGGTAGCATTTTGCCCTGTTAATAGTTATCAAGCAATTTATAATTTTAGACACATGTTCTCATAGTCACATAGTCTTTGTGTCCCCTCTGATTCTTAGGTTATTTTACCTAGCTCACGGTTAGAAGAACTAGCATAACAATACTATCGTTAAAGACAAAAAGGCTTGTAGTAAAAATGTGGCAGATAACATATATACGCACCTGTTAACGTGCTTGTATTTTGTCTTTTAAACAGATCTTTAAACTTATTGTTCTGCAGCTTAATGTACTGTAACAGGGTTCTCGCTGTTCTTATTAGCTTAGTGGTTTTATGATATTAGTTATAAAAGTGTTATTTATTTTCTCCATTTTGCAGGATTCTGTCCCAAAAGATAGAGAAAAAACAATTAATTAAAAAAATAGGATTTACATACATATAATGATTTTTAGCTCTACCTGATAATTCTGCATTATTGTTATAAGAGGCGTGCTGAACATTGGCAGTTTAAAAAAATATATATTTTGTAATACATATATTTTCATAGAAACTGTGTCATTCATATATGACTGTCTTTTTATTTTTATTTTTGCAATTTTGTTTAGTCAGTGTTAGTTGAAATCGGGAAACCTTGACGGTTGACAGCCATAGAAAAAAAAAAGAAATAAAAATTCAGCTACCAGTTTTGAATGTTCAAAAGAGAAGCCAATGTGCAATGAATCATTGCATGGGGGTATTTTTCAAAAGAACAACCAGTTCTGCATCAAGCAAAAATTGAGCAGAATAATCTTTGCAACCGATATGTGTCTCACATATAATTGGCTAAAACAAATTTTACAATGTAATTTTTTTTATTTTTTTTTTAAGAAGTTAGTTTTTAATGCCCGCAATCTGCAATCTGTCAGACATCAATGAACATAAAACCAAAATCAAATCAATGCCTTTGAATTTCCTTAATTTTTATCTGATACAAATGTGTTTATTCAGATATGTGTTTTGAGTCTGGAAAAAAACAAAAAAAAGAAACATAATCACAAACTCTGAAAAAAGCTAAGAACTGAGAAAACAGACAGTACATCAGATCAGTGGTAGAGCTGCTAGAATATGTGTGCTTGCAGTAATGTGCAAATAAGTGTGAGACCTGTGTGATACATGTGCAGCCGAGCATGCATTTTGTTCCTGGGTTTATGTGAGTTATGTGTTATGGAGTACACATTCAATATGAATGGGTGTGTGCGTGTGCATGACTCAAGATGAATTACATCCCAAAAACAGTGGAGCGAGAAAGACAGAGAGAGGGAGAGGGGTCCCCGGTTGCTGCCAAACACAGGGCAGAGATGATGAAGTGATGCACTGTGAGCTACCAAAACAATATGGAGGGAGAGGCATCATCAGCGGATGGAAAAAACCAGAAGTGGCAGCCAGATAGCAACAAGGGAGGAGGAGGATGAAGGCAAATCACATTAATATGAAGAAAAAAAAAGAAACAAACTCTTTAATATTTCTTAAAATTTATATCTTTCTCTATATCATGTTCAAAATAAACTTTTACTTTCTTGTTACTCATGTTGATAATAAACAAGCTCCTCAAATGTTTTGTACAAGTATAAAATATGATTATGTAATGTTTGAGCAACTTGGAAAAAAAAACAGTGCTACTAACTGTTAAAGAAAAATGATTATTTTTTAGACTTTATTACAGTTAATCTTATGGCATGTGTAAACACTCTCACTTGAACATATTTCTTAATTTTGAACAAGGCTGTGTTAATGATTTAAAACTACTAATGGGTAAGTATTCAAAGCACAGGAGGCCTTAAAATGAGTATCTCCTGGGGGGTGAATAACAGTTAAGCCTGCAGGAGAGATTTCTGCTTGGTTTACAGAAGGTCAAAAGTGAGGCCCCCCGCATTCCACAAGCTGTCTGTGAGAGCTTATCTTGTGTTTTATGACTTTAGGAATGCTAGATGCCAGGACAAGCTTTCCGCCTTTTCTTGTTAAAACAAAGAAGCAAATGACCCCAGATGTTTGCAGTAAATAAGGGGAAGCCCTAGCAGTGTCAGAGATGGCTGTTGGTTGGAGGACCGAGGGCCAGCCCTTTTTGAATGGATTAGATACAAGAGGATAAAGCTTTCTAAATAGAAGAAAAAGATCAGATTTTGCTCTTGCAAACTCTCCAAAGATGTCTTGTACGTCTTTGCTTTCTTTCCTCCTATGTCAGGTAATGGAATGTATGTCTCTGTTGTTTTGCAGTTTCTGGTGTAGGTTTGTGCATTGTCTTATTTCTAAAGTGTATGCATTGTCTTATATTGGATTAAACTCTGTAATTCTGTGACGTCAACACGCAATGTTGGTTTTATTACCAAACGCAGCTCGCCGAGTGGACCTGGGGAAGGGAAGAATCAGAAGCCAATCTTTTTCCAAAGTTAACTATGTTAGAATATTTTCTTCCTTTACACTAACTTAATAAGAACCTAAAGTAGTAATTTATACTAGAAAAGAAAACAACTGCAAGGGTAATGAAAAAAGGCAGCAACCATAAAAGACATTAAAGAGTAAATAAATGTACTTAAGTCTTATTAAAGCATATTAAAAAGCATATTAAAAATAATGAAATTATGCATCTGCATCTTTAAGACTGTACAAAGCAATGCTGTCTTAGAGTGAAGTGATAACTGTTGCTCCTACTTAGCTATTTAAAGAATTGTACAATGATGGTTATAATTAAGTTTAAAAAAAAAACAATTATTTGGACTTTTTTTATAAAGGGGTCTTCTATGCATGTTATTTCAACTGTGCAGAAAACAATGCCCCAAAGAATAATAGGTTTCTCTACAAATCCAAATCATTGCTTTTTCGGATTTTATGTTATTTTTGATTACTGTACATACTGTATGAAGGGTGAGTTTCACATTTTAATTTTTCCTGTAAAAATGCATTATATAGAATGCTTACCAATGATCTCTATTTTAAAAAAATACCAGTTGTTTAACCCACTAATAGTTTACAAAGTTGGGATTTAACCAAAGAATGAAAGCTCAGGGTGTAAATTAAGTGTTTTCAAATTTGTGGAAGCAGAAACTTTGCCCTATTCATGAGTTTGTTTGTTTTTCCCAAACTCCATTCATGTCAGCACCCCTACTTTTCATCTTAACATTTCCTCCACCATGTTTCAGTGGGTGGATGTTATGTTCAGGGTAATGTGCACAAATCATAGTATTATCCACCTAAGCCACAAAAGGGTTATGTTTTGGTTCAATCTGAAAATAATATCATCTTCCACTTTTGTTGTGGTAACATTACTTCTGTCAAACTAGAAATTGAACTTTTATGGCCACTTTCAACAGTGGCTTTCTTCTTGCCATTCTTTAATGACACATTTTTAATGCAAAAAATGCTGTCAATCTCCGCAGCTGCTTCAGAGACAACTTGCCTCTTGGCTTTCAGTACAAATTATGCTTTTATAGCATTTCCTGTCAGCCTATGTGAATATTGTTTAGTTTCAGGTAATGGTTTAAGTAGCACTACATGCAAAGATCAAATCTTTGGATATTATTTTACAACCTAACAATGCTTTACAGCTCTTGCTATCTTTCTCACAAATCTTACTGGTGTGCTTTTTCTTTTTCATGATGCTATTTGCTCATGGCCGTTCTGTTGCAAGCCCAAATATTAAGGGAACAGTCATTGTGATAATAAACTTTGTAATCACCCGTTTGTTAACTTAAAATACTATTAACTGAAGTCACAACAGTGATGCTCAGGAAAAGTTAGAGCAGAATCTACCTGCTGAAGAAGCAGAGATTTTGACTCTATTTTGGCATCAGCCATCTTTTATGGTGTAGTTAAGCTCATCAGGAGAGCAAGCTCTGTTGCACCCTTGACCCTATGCAGGTGGTGTGAGACATGATTCTGGCAAAAATAGCTTCCTTCTTGGTTAACAGAGCCACACCATACATAAGACTGCTGGAGAGCTTTAGGGACAGACCACAGAACTCTAAGGGCCTGATCTTCAAAAGGTTTGAATGTATTAAAATTATGCAAAATTGTTAGAATGGAAAAAAAACTTATTTACAAAGAAGGTACAAATTGCATGTGGGTGAGCCTTTGTGAATAGCCAGATCATATTGTAATGACTAAACCATGCGAATTCATGGCTTGAAAATATGCAGCTCTATGTTAAAATGTACCACCCACAAAGCAACATATCAAAGATGTAACTGATTGCAGGTGCATCCATGTTTAGCTCATTTAAAACCTACCTACTTATTGCATAGACTTTTTTGCTCATGCAAAAACTATTATTTATAAGCATTTTTGAAGATCATGTCATGCATGATTTCTAGGTTTATATGTGAATTGCATGTTCATGTATGGCCTGACATTAGTTATAGTGTAAGGACCATTTTCTTTATATTCTCAACATTGTTAGGACCAAAGTCAGGGGTAAGATTACAATAATCCATGGAATAGGAATGGTGGTGTATGTTTGTATATTTACCATGCGAAGGTAGTTCATGAGGCTGGTCCCATGTTGCCAGATGAGGGGGGAGGTGCAGCTCAGCGGCTTCACTCCAATCTCCTGACTGCGGTTCAGCTCCCGCACAGCACTCACCACCACGTGAACAGCATCAAACATAAGGGCTGATGACAGCTAGGCATGAAAAAAAAAGGATAAGAAAGATTTTATCTTCTGCCCCCTTTGCTCTAAAAAAGGGTGAATGAATTTACTTTCACAAGAGACCTTTCTTCTTATCTTCTTAATTGCTAACTTCTGAATTAAGGATTCAAGGGAAATCAAACAATATTTAAGATTCATGCAGAGTGATGAGGAACGATAATTAATTTTGAAAACAAAGGAGTGAAACCTACTTAAAATCGTTGTGTTAGTTAAATAATTAAAGAAAAACACGACGCTGGTTGATTATTGTTGTATGATTTGTTGAATGTATACTTATCTGAAGACAAAAACTGTCAGTTTTGCATAGTCTAATCATGCCATCAGCAAAGCTTTGATGAAACAAATAAATATGATACATTTAAGAGTAAAATACTTAATGAAATGAAATGTTTCTGGTTTACTCGTACCATTTCAATGGTCTTTCATAAGACAAAAGGCATTTCTTAACATTACCTACACTTGTTTTACTGTAGAACCAGTACCTTCTAAGTTAAGTCCCTAAGGCTTCAAAGTAAAGATGGATAAATTGGACACAATTTTATTTATTTATTTTTCTTGATTGAAGCATCAAGAAAAATGCACTGTGACTGTAGTACTTTCTATGGAACAGCAAAAAAATTGGCGGAGGTACGAAAAATAAACATATTCACAAACTCTTTTTTTTACCAATATCATCAATAAGAGTTAAGCCTTATCCTTACATCATGAAAAATTTATATCACAATACTTTTTTTGTCCTAAAACATGGGAAATGATGCAGTACAGTATGATTATCTGTTAAACTGAGAATGACTTGTGAAACCTCAGAATTTCACTTAGAGAGTCTGAGCCAATGGCAAAAAGCAGATTATATATGATGTTATGGAAAGCCAAAACTGCAAAGTCCCTTAACAGTGGTTTTATTTTTCTTCCTTCCCCACTAAATCATCCATTCAACCACACAGCCTGTGTTATGTAAATTTCCTCATCTGAACCAGTACCCTAGGGTCTGCATGGACTTCCTGTGGACAGTGGTAGATACATCAACTTTTTGTTGCTACACTGATTGCGCACATGAACAGAGTCTCTATACAGTACGTGTGCATTTTTTGTTATACAGTTGACAAAGTAGCAAATAATCCCCCGCTGTGATGCTGGATAAAAAAAAAACATATTTCTTCTAAAGAGATGCTATGGTTTGACTAAGCAAGGGATTGTACAAATACAGATATTTGCACCTAGGCGAACCCAGGCAGCAGTTGTTCATTAACAAGGGGAAAAACAGTGTAAAGGAAAAGCAAAACAAACAAAATGAATAAAATTGAATAAGAATATAATATGAAGTAATGTCTTAAATAATAATCTGGTTTATTTAATTAGTAAAGGGGGTTGTTTAAAAAGTGAAAGCTGTTTCGGTGTCAATGACTTAACAACAGGTATACAAAAGGAGGGGAAATGAATCAGCCCCAGAAACATTAATGGTTTTCAGTTGGAAATCAGAGACAGATTGTCCCCTCTTATATGAGTTTGTTTGTGGTTTTATTGTTTCCTTTTTACTGTTTTTAATAGTTTTTCATACACAGGTCAGGGTCAGGACTGTTAGCAAGAGCCGAACCATACATAGGTTACACAGACAGTCCAAGTCCATTTGGATGACCCACCAATATATTTCATTCTCAGAGGGTTTTTGCTGTGTCTCCCTGCTACAGCCCTAAGTAAATTAATAAGCAACCTTATTCATGTTGCACATTTCAAGATGCTTCGTCAAAGAAATGGCTAAAAAAAAATACTCAAGACAAAGCAAGTCTTAAGGCAGATTTAAGGAGTCAATGAGTTTCTATTTTTGTTGGTCTTTAAAGGAAACCGCTGCATCTGCATTTCTTAAGAGTCCAAGATAAAAAGTTTCAAAGTCTGAGCCAAAGAAAAGACAGCTCTTTCTCATTTAGGTTTTAATTTAGTATTTAGCCGGTCCTGATAACTGCAACTCATGACCCAAATATAGATAGAGGAGATATAGATTAGTGTCTATCAATGCAGTGCTCTCTAAGCCAAAACTAGGATCATTAAATGCACTTGATAATAAACAAGTGGCTAATGAAATTGCATTATTAATGGTGTCACATGACAACATTTTGAAGAACTACTCTGAAGCCTATAGCCTTTTATATAGAAGTTAGCACAAGATACAAAGAGTGTATTTCTCTGAAGGATGATGAGGGTGCTCTATTAGCCAAGCATCCTCTAACAGGCAGGCAGCATAGGGCAACACTGAATGCAGACAGTGTAAAGGATGACTAGCATTTGCCAGTTAACACCAGAATCATCAGGTTTGGCATCAGCATCCCGTTCTTCACAGAGATGAGATCAGATTCATTCTGAGCTTTTGTGACAGATGTGAAAATGTCTGGTGAAGCTGCATTGACTGCTGCCAACAACCTTGTTTAATTCAATTCAGCTCTTTACAGAGACAATTCAATCAAATCATAGACAGATATGTTTAAAGTTTTCTAAGACTGCCAAGCTAATTGCATCGAGTCACAGACTTTCACTCCGTCTGGATACAAATGTAGCATCAGTAGACATTCACTTGTATTGTGTTGTTGACTTTACGGCAATTCCAGCTTTTCTTTTTTAATTGCCATTACACTGTTACAAGTACAGAGCAACTAAGTGAACACTGCAACATTTCCCCTTAGGCAAGACAATGGCAAGACTGCCATTGTGCGGCCACCCTTGAGCAGTGTGCAGTTAACGGTCTTTGTTCAGGGACCCAGCGTGGCAGTCTGTGGGAGTGGGGCTTAAACTCAGAATCTCTGAATTCCAAACTCTATGCCCTAACCACTAGGCTACCACTCCCCTCACACTCAATTCCTCACAATTGTGGATAGGAAAACTCCCTTTTAACAGGAACAAACCTCCAGCAGAACCACCTCAGTGTAAGAGGCCTTCTGCAAAAGCGGACTGGGGGTTAATAGCCTGGCATACCATACTGACTTATGTTTCACTGTGGCCTATTTCTGTGGAAAGAAGCAGTAAAGCCAGTTTTAAAAGGCAGTACTAACAGAGACAGCAAAAAAGTTTAGAAGCAATCCTATAACTACGGATGTGATGGAAAAAAAACATCTTAAAAAAAATATATACAGCAGCCAGTTGTTGAAATGTTTGTGTTATAAACAGGACAGGACATAAAAGGGGCATCACAATAAATCATTTCTCCATTGCAGCTGTTATCTTGACTGTTATGGTAACAAAAATGTGCTGCTGAATAATGGTCCAACTCCCAGTGCTGTGATTGATCCAGTCCATTTTAGATAGGGTGGTATTGAGCCTTTCCAAACTAACTTAACTTAAACCCTGTATAAGTGAGTTGGCTGACGAGGCTAGGGCAGTCAAGCAGACCCAACTAGAATAAATAGAACAGAATAAACAATGACATCCTGGTTTTCTTTATGTATTCAGAAAATATTCTAAGACCTATTTTAAAACATTTTAATGTTGCAATTGGTCTTTAGTTTCTATGTCGTCACATGGATTAAGTATTCAGGTAACTCTTGAAAGTTAAAAATACACCACTACGTTGCACCTCAGGACACAATATATTGTCTAATGAGAAACTTCCCGACATTGTCTGGCATGTCCACAAATACGTAAAGGCCATACAAACTACAGATTATCCCCTTGAGTTACAACAATGACATTTAAACAGACTGGACTAGCTTGTTCTATCAGTGTTTCAGCTTCTGTTGGTTTATAATTTTCATTTTCAATGAATGATGTTGCATCCTTTTGTTCCTACCACCTTTCATATTAGTATATATATTAAACAAGTTTATCTTTGAGATTTGATGTGTTTTTATAGTATGTCTTCAATTTTTTGAGCAGTATATGTAAAGATCCAAAAAAGGGTTGAATAAGAGAATTAGTGGTTATGTACAATGGAATGTAATGATAGAAGGAAACAGTAGTGAAAATATAAAGAAACAGAGATTTGAAAAGCAAAATGAAAAAGCCTTAACCGGTCAATATTTGCGGATAAGCACAATTTATTACACTCAGTTCTAACTGATCACCTATCAGAAGGTTTCTTATAACCAATGTACTGCAATACATGATAGGTAAAATCATTACCAGTCATTAAGTGGATTGTCTTAATGTTGCAAAGCATAGTAATGGCATTAGATTCATATATTTCTAAACTTCTAAAAGTTCCTGTGACCTGTGTTAGTGTCATAATATGAGAGTTAAAGAACATAATTTTAGCAAGAGTAGGCAACTGTTAAGTTCCTCTGACAATATGGCTAAAATATAGGAAAAAAGAATAAACAAGTTTCCACAGGGGGGAGAAAAAGAGCTCTCACTTTCACACGCTGAAGAACCTGGAATTAGCATGAGTCTAGTTAGATTACTACCTACAGTACAGTAATCCTCAAAAACTATAGAAGGTAGATAAATGAACAAATAGACTTGATTATTATTTAAATTCACTGCTTTTCCAGCAATAACATTAAAGAAGAGGCAGCAACAAAACAGAACTGAAGGGCAAAGACACATTTAGCTGTGGCAAATAGTTAGCGGGCTGGAGGTGAATGAAAAAATTCAAAGCTAAGCTGCCAGAAAGAAACACTGAAAAACTTTCGACAAAAGCTTTACAATAGAGCAACATTAAGCAGTGGTAACAAGGAGAAGTGGGTAAAGAAAATAGCTCAGAACATGTTTTGTCAGCACATCATAACAAAAGAAAATCTATACATTGACTTGTACAAAATCACCCACAATATAGCAAAGCCATGCATTAGCCGTGACAAGAAAGACTTACAAAATAGGATGATAATAAGATGTAAGAAAATGGAGTTAAATTCATTCTATCTCTATTCTATGGCATTTGGCTTTTTGTAAGTTATAATAATGACATTAATTTCAATTATTTTGATTGTAGAACAGTCCTTGTGGAGCATACATACATCGTTTTTGTTTTTTTTTGTTTTTTTTTTTGT